AAACGTTGTGAAACTGGAACGAAAGAAAACAAAGAAATATAAACAAATGACGCTTTCACAGTCAATCACAGAACCGCGTAAATTGTATAAACTACACTGATTTATTTCGTTCTTTGCCGGTAAATTTGTAAAATATGTTTTCCTATGAATTACCCGATGGAGGTTTACGTGCTCGTTGTTATATAAATTCCGAGGGCGACATCAAGTTTGATCCTCCTGTGTACGAGCAACGGTATACTACAGCAGTGCGCATACTGGAAGACTCACGGTGGGGACACAAATTTAAAAAAGTGAGGCAGTACTTGGATTCATGTTTGCATAAATTTTGTACATATATTAACACTAAGTTGTATATTAATTTACGTAAATATAGGTTGTGGACTTCGGTTGTGCCGATATGCGATTGTTATCGCTCCTGCGACGCGTTGAAGGCATTGAGCAGATATTAGAGGTATGTAAGTTTACACTTTCTTCGACTCACCAAACAAACTTTTATCAAAAGGATAATGGGTGTAAAGCAGCACATGGGTTTTCGAATATAATATATGTCTCTATAGTTCACAAACCCAGCATCACTTTTGCCCTTTTATTGGGTGACCATGGTGTTGGTTTTGTAACAGCTTACAAATTTCTCAAGGAGTTTTTTTTTGGGAGTGATTATAAAATTACAGATCTTGGCCAGATTTAAATCTGGGTCGTTCCGTTTTCGTAGACCTGACTGTCGTGGTAACGGTGACCATGTCGTTTTTTAAAGCGCTTCTCTTGTCAGGTCATAATAGGGATAGGAACTATTTCTGAATGCACTTTAAGTTCGTTTTTCGTGAAATTTTCGAAAATGCTATCACTGAATTCGAATACCTAAGAACGTAGCATGTATTTATACATATGTTTATACGTCCATATCAATTGTGATTCAGTGATGGGATTTAAGTAGATTTAATGATAATGGGACCGCCAAATATTCATCAATAGCCCCGATTCTTTTAATTCTTGAAACGTTAATCGATAGGCAAATGTACATAAGTATTTATACTGACCTAACTAATTCGAAGAGCACTGCATTTTTGTCAACAGTCGTGGCTTGAGCTCATCTGCTCACTTGCAGGAGTGCCCGACCACTTGCTCAATTTGGTTAATATCACTAATATCGCTTGAATTAGTTTGGATAACGTTATTATTAAGTTCGACCCGAGCGCAAATTAGGGGAAGTCTAACACAACTTAAATTACGAGAACTTATTCGTAAGATCCGGAACACGGAACAAGCTTTTCCCTGAGTTTAAGTCAGGTTTGGTTTGCCGGATAACTCAGCAATGTTGTGATTTATCCAGATTAATTAAATTATAATACCGTATTTCGATGGCTGAGTGGAAGATCGAACTATTTTGGCAGCGGGTTTAAAAACGCTCTATCTCAGAAAACTATCAAGAAGACCTTACTTCAGAATTCGGTGAAGAACGCTCTATTTCAGAAGTTTATTGAAAACCGCCCTATTTTAGAATTTGGTTCAAATTCAACTGAAAATATGTTGAGATAGGGAACCGAATTCTGAAACAGAGCGTTCTTGAAAAGTTTTCTGAGGTTGGGCGTTTTCGAACTGGCTGCCAATATATGTAGATCGATCTACTACCTGCCCGTCGATTCGCTATCGTAGCACCAAGTGGTTATGTTTTGTGAATTTTGTAATTATTCTAACTAAAAATCAATACCGATATGTTTTTGCACTTCTCCACAGGGTTGAATAAATCTGCGCATGCTATCATTTTTAGTATCGAAACTTTAGGCCTGAGTTGGCCGAAGGTCGAAAGCTTTTACCATTTCCGCCACCTAGTGTAGTGTGCGATACTTCAGATTTCTTCATTCCTAAGCAAAAATATCACATAACAAATTACAGTAAAATGGAAGTACAATTGGTACTTCCACTGTGCGACACCTCCACCAGGGTTGTGGGTAGCTGCAGCAGCTCGGTAGACTTAACAATAGCTAGCGCGGGTATGATAAATAGCATCGCGGAAGTTCGCTCTAACTTTCCGCCGAAAGCTGTCGTACAATGCAATGTGGGAGTTATATATATCAAAGTACTTCGCTTATCAACCCACTTAGACCCCAATTTTAAGTTCGCGTGCATATTAATAAAAACACTTTTATTTAATCTGTTTATTTTATTTTTTATTTAATGTTTGTATAATCCTATGAAGTTTAATGGTTTTTATTATGAATTCCTTTATTTAATGGCTAATAACGGGTGATTTTTTAAGAGCTTGATAACTTTTTTTTTTAGATTGGTCCATGACATTTACTTTTTGAAGATAATTTCATTTAAATGTTGACCGCGGCTGCGTCTTAGGTGGTCCATTCGGAAAGTCCAATTTTGGGCAACTTTTTTACGGTTTTACACCAAGATCTTTGCGTAAAATCTTCCATGTGGTCGAATAACACATCGACATTTCACGGTCTTCAGCAACACTCTCAGAAACAGACGCAAT